TTGCAGCTAATCCTGTGGTAAGCTTGCCGGTGTCAATAAGGGAAGTGAGGAGGAGGGGGGGATTATAATATCCTTTCTAGGGGGCCTTACTTAATGTAGTGTGTTTTAGGGTAGCGTAGTACGATGTCAAAGTACATCAAGCCATGGTGCCCGTTGCCGTTTGACCTTCGTTCAACTAACACACCAATCGGCCAAATGACTTCCACCGGACGTCCTTATGTCTTTCCTCGACAAGGTTGCAGCACTACTGTTGATGAGCAGAGCGCCTAGCGGCCCGCCGATTGCAGAATACCTTGCGTGCGAGTTGATCTTGCAGTATGGATCGTCAGAGTTCTAACAAAGACGCCGCTTTCCATTGCCTGGCAAAGTCAATAACTCAATTGACCCTGTGCCAAGTCACTACCGGTGAAGTAGAAGCTGCCACAAACCTGTTGAATAAGGCATCTCAGAAGCTTCAAGGCATCCAGAATATCCCATCCCAAAGGCTTGCTGACCTGGAAGCAGCCATACGCCAGCTCCGCCAACTTGGCTGCATATTAGATAGTTGTACAATCTCGGCCAGCTACGAAGTAACCCAAGCGCAAAAGGCCATATTGTTACTGGATCATACAGCCAAAGGAACTAGCACGTCATCGGAAGAGCTCAATGCACAGATATCACCGCGTACTGATGATGAGCACAATCTCCCATACCATGAGGACTATTGGCAAGAGTAATAGTGCACGAAAATTCACTCCAAACCGCAATGATGAAGCTATGAGAGATCCTTGTAGGACATCTCTCACCGCCCCTTCATTCTGGTCGTTATTCAAGTGAACTACCCCAGGCGCAGCGCCTATCCAATTAGCACTCTTGGAAATGGGCATGGATAACCCCTGAGAGTATGATGATTGGAAAAGCACTACTGAGCGGACTCTGAGTGTGCCCTGAGTGCCGTAGTCTTGCTCTCATTCTCACACTAGACCATGTTTCACTCTCCAGTTTCACTGCGGTAGTTCTTCTCACCACTTTCGTTGCGACCCGGCGTTGTCGGTGTTTGCTTCAAAGTGTCAGGGTGAATGTCATGCCGTGAAGGCTGCTCTTAGTGATCTCGGGGATCCTGGCTGGGGGGATCCCTGGTTTCTGCATTGAGCTTTGTTGCTTCTCGCACCCGCTGAATTGGCCCCTGGTGTTTTTGTGGCGTTTCTTGTTTTTGTTATTGTAAGGGGCCTGCGTCATCATGGCACACAAGATGTCATTATGCATGCACCGAGATGATACTAAGCTATCAACTCTTGCTTTAATTGATCTTTTTCACCCATAAACTGGAATCTGTCACGTCACTGCTCTGTGGTGTGTGTTGTCTTTTGGTTTGTTTGTTTTTGGTTTTGGGTGTTTGTGTTCTGTTTGTGTTTGGGGCTGTTTTTTGTGTTTTTTGGTTTGTTGTTTCTCGGTTTTTTTGTTTGGTTTTTTGGATGATCGTGACAGTGCACAGGACTATGTATCGGTCCTCCACCAGTTTACTTTTGCGGCCACTCTACAGCACCGGCCTTTGCGCGACTTAATTAATCAATTAACCCCAATTGCAACATGCTCTGAAACATGTTGAACGACCTGGCGGAAGCCACGAAGGCGTTGGACGGAAAAAAAATAAAAAAATAAAAAATGTAAAGAGCTTCGTGTTTCGAGCAGGTCGCAAGGTTCCACACTGCCAAAAATGGGATTGTCACGCGCTTCCGCTTTTCGCTTTGGACAGGGCCATTTCGAGGCTGTTTCCAATTTCTATTTTAATAGCAGGCGAGACCAAAAACGGGCGCGCCAAATCCACGCGTTGGAGCGTGTGGCAATCCTGTTTTTGGGGTTGCGACATGATGCTTGGAACGCACCCAGCTGCTTCAAAAGTTCGCCAGAAACCATGAAACCACAAAAAGGCAGGAAGGATGACACAAACATCCACATGCTGAACTGGGGAGGACCGCCTTTGGGAGTCCAAATTCCATATACCTTTCCAACCCCAAAAATGGGCAATAAACAAATCGAACAGTTCAGTGACATCATCTTGCGCATCTTGCGGTTTCTTGCCGAGTCGTCTGGAGTCACAAAGTTGGAACTCTTTCAACCCTTTCACCATTGTAAATAGATGTAAATAGGGTTTCAGCAGGTGTACCGACTCCGCCCGACGGCAAAGACTCCGCAGCTAAAGACATCAAGACTGGCATAAAACTGTGGTAAAACGGAAGTTTTGCATCTTCAGCCTTCTTACGGACGACATACACAATCCGACCCGCAAAGTTGCCGCGTTAGGAGTCTAGGGGGGCGAAGGGGGGGAGCCCAAAAACAAACAACGCATCAAGAGACCAAAACAAAACTGAGCAGTGCGACGCCCAATCGTGACAAAAAGATCCACTGCCAACGCAAATACAGAAAAAAGCATCCCGCCAGTAATGTCGCAGCGGAATCATCACCTCACCCACGCCATGTTGCGAAAGCCTGCGACAACAACACCCAAACAATTCCAAACAATATGGTGCTTTGGCAAAGATTGGCAACATGCAGGCGGGGCTGGAGACCTTCAATCAGCAACCGTGTTCTCCGGAATCCTGCCATTCCGTTACACTTGCAAAAGTATTGCTTTTTGTCCATTTTTCGCAAAAAAGGTCACTTCTTCAGCAATCTCATTTTCGGGGCCGTAAACACATTGGCTTTTTGGACTCCAAGAAGTGGTCCTCCCCAGTAAAATTCTTTTAAAGCAAACAGCTGATCCGCGATCCGCCATGTGATTCATATGAGACCTGTCAGGAGTCTAAGGGGAGAGGGTTGCTGCATCTAGTGGAGGAAAAACTTTTGTCCTGGTGTTGTATGTTGTCTGGGTCGTGCTGCATCGCAATCACCACATTGGAGCCAGTGAACGGAGACAGCTGATACCACATGTGCGCTTTCAGGTTCCATTTTTGGGGCCGGAAAGTCAATTGAAATCAGGCTTTGCATGTGCGGGCACTCCTCTGTTCCAAATCTATATGCTTTTTGCTTAAATAAACGCAGTTGTATTTTTGTTCGGACGGGTCGGCCTTTGCTGTTGATTTTGCGATTTTGTGGTCTCATTTTTGGTACCGCCAGACGGTCCCAAAAATGGGACCGTGAAAATGCTTTTCTTTGGTTCTTTTACTAAGCTCTGGCGGTCCCATTTTTGGGACCGTGTTTAGGTTCATTTTTGTAAAGTTTTTTGCATCAGGGTTGAAGAAGCGCAATGTTTTGGTGTCAACAGAAACTTTGTGGCTTATGGCGACCGGAAAGGCAACTAGGGAGGCCCTTTTGAGCGAAGCCGGTTTTGAGAAGGTTTTCCGGACCCAGATTTTTTTTCCGTCCAACGCCTTCATGGCTTCCGCCAGGTCGTTCAACATGTTTCAGAGCATGTTGCAATTGGGATTAATGAATTAATTGAGTCACGCAAAGGCCGTTGCTGTAGTGGCCGCAAAAGTAAACTGGTGGAGGACCGATACGTAGTCCTATGCACTGTCACCTAAAACCAGAAAACCAAACAAAACACCACACAAAAACAAAAGCAAACAAACCACACAAAAAACAACACAAACCACACAAAAAACAACACAAAACACAGAGCAGTGACGTGACAGTTCCAGTTTATGGGTGAAAAAGATCAATTAGAGCAAGAGGTGATAGCTTAGTATCATCTCGGTACATGCAAAATGACATCTTATGTGCCATGTTGACGCAGGCCCATACAAACACAAAACAAAACAAAACCCGCCACCTGTTCTCCAAACAATGGGGAAACAAAGGGGCGCGGTGAGTAATGGGGTAAACTAAAACTAACGCGAGAGAACACAAAGGAGTTAAACAAGAGCGCGATCGCGGTATACGCGCAAACTGAACCAACTGACATGTGAAAACATCAAAACTGGACATCTGCAAACTGAAGAACAAACAAGTGATCGAACACGGAAACGCTCCACTCCTTTTTTGTCTGGTGGTGACGGCACTGCTGTGAAAGATTTCTGAGACCTAACTGCCACCATCGTGCGAAATCTCTTCCAAGTGTCTTTCATCGTGAACACATCTTTGAAACGTGGACGAGGACAAAATGTCCCCGAAATTCGATTGTACATCAAGCAAATAAATAGCGAAGTTCCAATCCAGTGCCAAAGATGGTGGTCGCCACGAGAACCCAAGTCCAACCAAATAAGGGTGGGGGGGTGTGGTACAAAAATTTGAACAACTGAAACTGCACAGAAAATATAAAACTGAGAAATGAATCTGAATTCACGTTGAAGTTTGAACAGATTGTAAGACAAATTTCTGAGTGTTCCAAAACCTAAACCTAACAAACCTAACAGTAACAAGCAAGGCAACTGAAAACTGAAATGAGATCATCTTGCGAAAGAGAACCAACAACACCAAACAACAGAGGCAACTGAAACTGAAACTCAGGCGTTGCAAAAGTTGGTTTGTTTCATTTAGGTTTTTTTTTTTGAGGAACACGCGAAGAGGAACCCAGAAGGCCCAAAGGCCAAATACACGAGAGAGGTAACCCTCAACCAAACCCCCACCACCCACCCACCCCATTGTTTTACAAACAGTCACTTTGGTGACCCAAAATATCCTGTTCTCCAAACAATGGGGAAACAAAGGGGCGCGGTGAGTAATGGGGTAAACTAAAACTAACGCGAGAGAACACAAAGGAGTTAAACAAGAGCGCGATCGCGGTATACGCGCAAACTGAACCAACTGACATGTGAAAACATCAAAACTGGACATCTGCAAACTGAAGAACAAACAAGTGATCGAACACGGAAACGCTCCACTCCTTTTTTGTCTGGTGGTGACGGCACTGCTGTGAAAGATTTCTGAGACCTAACTGCCACCATCGTGCGAAATCTCTTCCAAGTGTCTTTCATCGTGAACACATCTTTGAAACGTGGACGAGGACAAAATGTCCCCAATGCAACGCACGAGGCAACGTTGACTGAAGCTGACGCTGAAACTGAAGGGGGGCTGTCAAATTAACCCCATGCCGTCTTTTCACCTTTGTCTTTGCCTTTTCCGTAAACCGCCCAAGAGTCGCGGTCTAAGTACTCTTCTCTGGCTTCCCAAAGGCTCGCCAACAAACTCAAATCTAAATCTGAAAACAGGCAGGAAATTCTCTTGTCCATGTCAACCCCTCCAAACTTGGAGTTCGTCAAATCGTCAGCGAGGGTGTTCTCGTCCCTCGGTCTCCACGCCAGACTCAACCTGACACCTGACCTCATCAAGAAATGTGAAAGCTGCATGTTGACTAAGGTGAGAGGCCAGCGGGTAGTGGAGTTCTTTTTGGACAAGAAGTCAATGGAACGGTTGTCAGTCCCGCTCTGAATCCACAAACGTATGCACGTCCTACCTGTCTTGGGCTCCAGGTAGCCAAACAACCGTAGCGCCACCAAAACGGCAAGCAACTCAGCTGGTGCCGAAGCCCACTCACTGTCTCCGTTCTCTTTGAACAAGTAAGGAGCATCACGCGGTGTGACCCGCACTGAAAACCACCTTCCGTCTGGGAAGTGATACCCCGCAAGAACCACCAAGTTGTTTTCGCATTTCGCGTCAGTCCTGAAAACTTCATTTGTAAGCCTCTGCGGCTTCACGCAAGAAAACATGAACTTCTGCTCCTCAAACTGCTTTTCCAGAAACATGCAAACCAGCCTGACCAGGCGTGGGGCCGTAGCAACTGTGCTTTTGCTAACTGCTGACGCCCAAGAGTAAAGCGGGGCCAGATGCGGCTTCAACCACAACAGGACGCGGCAGGTGAAGCCGAGCCGCCCAAGAAACTCTGCAAACCTGTGGACATGCACTGTATAGCCATCCCTCCTCAGCTCTCTGAGAAAACTAAGCAGCCATTGACCGCGGGCTCCACTTATGCCAACCTCCATGTTGCGGTAGTCAACACGGTATCCAACAAACTGGACGTCCATGCCTCCAGAAAACTTCTTGTATCCAAAAGGTGTGCCCAAAGCTTCATAGGCCGCAATTGCCATCCACAAAGTCTCAAACTTCTGCTCACCCACGCAAACAACGTGGAGATCGTCCACGTAAACCAGTTGTAAAATCCACCTGTCCAAGAGCAGCCTAGCCACCAGCCTGCCTGCAAGGCCAAACAACCTGCTCCACCAATAAGGCGCACTTGACACCCCAAATGTGCCGACTTTATTGACCCAGCACACTTTGGAGTCAGAGTCTGACTTACAAACCAAAAGCCTCCAATCGCTTTCCCTGATCTTGACCAACCTGTGCGCCGCCTTGATGTCTGCTGACACCGTGAAGAAAGCCTTCATGGTGTCCCTCGCGCACCGGACTGCCCCTGCAACATCTGGTGGCCCAGGGTAATCTAGCTTGTCAGTAAACCTGATGCCATTGTTGACTTGGACAAAGTGAGTCCCATCATGTATGGGCCTAACGCTCCCATCTGGTTTCTTGATTGCCCCCATGGCCGCCACCAGGATAGGTTTTCCCGGGTAGCGCTCTTTCAAAACTCCCATAGTCGTGGGGAACATCATGCCTTGCGCCTCGTCCTCTCTGAACTTGCTTTCAAGCCCTTCCTTGTTCTCCACCGCAGACTTGTAGTTGCGTGCCTCCTCCATGTACTCAGAAGAGTCCAGGTTGCTCTGTTTTAACCGGGCACGAAACACATCAGGAGCAGGTGGTATAGGCTCTTCGTACCCAACCGGCACGCCAGACGAAAAGGAGTCTCTGTCTGCCACCAAAATTTCATGATCCGGATCTTCCTGGATCTTCAGAGTCTGCGCCATGAGGTCCAAAAAGAAAGGTTGGCCTTCTGCTCTCCCCATAGCACTGCCTGGGACCGGCAGCAAAGCTGCCCACCGCTTCCTTAACAGGTCAAGAGCGTCCCCCCCAAAGGGGGACTCCGTCAACTTCCCAGTCGCCAGTTTGAAAGCCATAAGGCGAAGGTCTCCCAGCTGCTCATGGACAAAATTCCTCAACAAATCGTGGATCTTTGTATTGAGCTCCATTGAACGCACGCTCTGTCCAACACCTCTGCAACCAGGCGCCCACCTATTGGGTGAGCACAGTCCAAAACCATCAACGATCTCTCTCTCTTCACCTGACCATTCCACCATCAAAGGCCTACCCCAGTTGAAACGCGAAACAGTGTGCTGCACCTCTACTGTTTTACTGGTACCAACAGCCTGTGCCGCCGGTTGTTCAGCCAGCGACTGTTTGTCCTCCTCATCAACTTCCATCTGTTGTTGTTGTATCTGCTTCGACTCAGGAGCCACATGCTTCGTAACCGCTTCAGCAGGAGGGGAAACAGGTCTCGGAGAAACAAGCCCCTCTTTAACCCTGTGGTGATCCCCTTTCCGCAGGACGGAGGCCACAAGGGTTGCAAGATATTTGCACAAGCCAGGTGGATATGCTGCAGCAGGCCCGGTGACCCAACGTCCCTGGGAGTCTTTTCCAATCAAACGCCTGACATGACGCTTGTGAGTGCACCGAGCTGGCAATGGCCCCAAATATCGGCCATCTTGATCAAATGACGGCCACTTCGCATAGCGCGACTTGATGCCCGGTATTGTAGAAAGAAACCTGGTGGGTTTGCTGGTGTCCGCCCCGAAGGCGCATTGGAAAATTGCCCATGTTGTCGCTTCTGTGGCAATTTGAAGGTCGCGCATGTCTTCCAGTTGCCAGATCGATGCTGGGTATTCACCATTAACTGACCCCAAATCCTCTGGATGTTCAATCAGAAAGAAGGTCCCTGCTGCGGAGGCAATGTATGCAGCCTGGATAGTTTGAGAAACAAAATAATTTGCCACGTCAACTTTCTTGCGTTGTGCAGCTGACAACCATGGAAAACCCCAGGGCCACGACTTGTTGCGCTGTGGGCGCGGCCCTGGATGCAGCTGCCATTGAAAGCGGACTCTTGACCAAGTCCCGCATGGTGGTGACATGATAATCACATCATACTTGCCATCACGAATCTCTGCAAAAAGTTGTTCCCACAGCTGTGCACTGCTGAGGTCGTCAGACTCAGAGCGCTCAATGTCCACTTCGCGGACATTCAGGTCAAAATCCTGTGCCAGGGAAATTGCATGCAAAAAGGAATTGATGTCAGCACGACGTGGAGCTCCCGCAAACAAATAGAGCACATTCAAACGCTGTTTAACAGAGCTTTCGCTCTTCTCAGAAGCCCCACGCTGTGCTTGTCACTCATCACCAGGTCTGCCCTGGTCTTCACCACTTGCTGTCTGAGACTTGGAGCCGGTATATTTGTGGTGTTCACGTGCCGAGTGTTTTGCGTAACATCCACGGACTCGGCATGCATGTACCCTGCCACACTTTCCAGAACACCCCTGAGCGTTGAATGCAAAGCATAGTTCACGACCATCCGGCGTGTGTGTGACCAAGCTGCTGCCGTTGAAATCCCTGGCGTTGCCTTTGCCAGACTTGCCTTTTCCTTTTCCACCTTTGGCTCCTTTGTGCTGAGGCTTCCCTTTGTAACTCGTTCGCTGCCACTTGTTGGGCTGTGGCTGCGTGGTCCTTTGGTTGTTCCAGCCAACCCCCAAAGCAATAGGAGCTGTAAAGTGCGCTTCCTTGATTTCTGCATCCCTTATCACCGCTGCCAAGCCTTCCGCAACAGTGTGGGTACCAGCCTGCACAAGCTTGAAGACTTCTTTGCGCATCTTTTGCTCGTAGCTGAGGATAACTGCCCATGGAGGTTTCACTGCATGGGTCTGGCCTTCAACGTTGAATTTCAACCCCAGCACCTTTTCACCAAGCAATACTCCGTGTACTTTGTCCAGTGCTGCAACTCCAGCCCATGGAGCCATGTCTTGTTTCGAAACTTTGCTGACATGCAAAGCCAGCTGATGGCCTCCAGCTTCAAGGCCCTGCGAAGTGACTCTGTGTCCTCTGGGAGGCGCCCTTTGGTCTTCACTTTCGTGACCCGGACATGCCCAGATGAATCAAGCGATGTCTGCAATGCCGACGAGCTCGTGTCTGAACGCGAAGACACCTCATCGAGCCCCAGAGCCTGGGGTTCATTGGCTTCGCACTCCTCGACTTTCAAGGCCAGGTACTCATTGCTAGGGATCTCTGCATCTTGAAGCTTACCCAATGTGACTTCCACAGCTTTCACCATGGCCTGGCGTTCAGTATGCTGAAGAACGCGCGGCATGCCCAACACTTTCGTCTCTGCTTGAAGCTCTTGCTCTTTTGCTGTCATTGAACGTGACAACTCCCATGCCGTCAACACTTTGGCAACATCTGCTCTAGTCTCTGGACTTGTTGCTGGATCAATACGAAAGTCAGTGCGCAATGCCTCCCGCACTTCTGCCTTCGTATCACACATCGAACTGAAGACCTTCATGGTCTTGTAATGTTGTGCCAGCGTATGTTGTGTACCCAGCGAAACATCGCACTCTTGCCAAATATATTGCAGATCTGAGCTCACATGCTCTGCCAGGTATGCTCTCCGAGCAACATCATCGACTGCCATGGTACACAGCACTGCCCGAGGACTAACCGCGGGATTGCAAAGAAACTAAACAAACAAACCACCAATCAAAACGATGTTTCAGCTGCCAGTTGATGAACATCCCGTGAAATAGCATGTGTGTAATACAGATGAGGTGTGAAGTTGCAAGTAAATACAAGTGCGACTAAAATCGCCTGAAGCTGAAGCTAAGTTCTCCAACTGAGTCTGAGTCTGAATCGGCTCTGACGCCGCTGAAATTTGGAATGACCCTGAGTGCCTGTCCTGAAACATGTTGTGCCAACATGACTGAAAATGCTCTGAAACTTGGTGCACTGTTCACCAATGCACACACTGCAAGCACTCAACACTTTTCCACCTTTGCGTTAAAGTTGAGATCTCGGCCGTGCCACAGCCACGTTCTGTGCCAGCAGCGAAACCTACTGGCCTGACTCGAAGTCCTGTGGTTCTTAACATCTGCCGTAAGTCATGAAACATCTGACAATACGCAAACCCAGAACTTCAACCGCTGAAATCAACATCACAGAATTCAAACAAACCGCAAAGGCATCCTGAAGCAAGCAAACAAACTCACTGAAATCGAAACCTGAAACAACCCCAGTGAATCAACATGGACTCTCAGTTGTGACATCCTGAGGACTCCCGGCTGACGTCGCCAATGTCAAGAAGTTCAGGCATCACACCCGATTTGCATAGCATGCTGTACTTGACATGAACTAACAGCAACGAATGAGGCTTCGACCCATGAACTGAAAGATGTTGACCAACCCGCTGAAAGCACATCATGACAAAGCTGACAACAAACCGTCCCTAATACAAATGAACCTAAGTCACAAAACAAAACTTGTCCAAGAGGTCAACAACGGTGAAATTCTTCACTTTGTGAAGCACATGCCTACATCGATTCGTTGCCTGAGGACTCAACGCTTGTTGATGACGAAGAGCCATCGCTTGAACTGCTGCTGACTGGTTCATCCTCCACTTGGTTCTTCAAGAACCTCTTACACACCCTGCAAATGGCATCAAAGCTTGCGGAAGTGACTGACTCAACTGTTTCTGCTTGCTGACATCGTTCTGCATGGACATGACATTTGCCAGTGACATGAAGCCTCCGGAAGCCTGTCCTCCTGGAGACCGTGACAAAGTACGCCATGTCGTCATCCACATCGACTGGTGCGGGGTGTTCCCCATCAATCGGTTGTTGTGGGTCCTCTTCATCACTCTCCTCCTCATACCCATACCTGACCATGTCCTCTGCCTTGGGCAAAGGAAGCATCTTGTGGCGTCTCCGGACCCGTTGCCCGCTCAAATCAGACTTCTCCGCAAACTCGCGGACACTGTCCAGCAATTCACTCTCGTCATATGCCACCTCTGCTCCGTAGAAAGAGTCTCGCACTTGCTGCTGGATCCTCTCAGTGATCTGGCGGGAGGTGTGGAGGTATGCATTGGACCCCACTCGCCCTATCGACCACCTGCCCAAGAAGTCTCTGTCATGTTTGTCACACCCAATGGCAGCTGAAGTCTGCGGCAAAAAATGCCTAGGGCTGTGTCCCTTCCAGAAAAGCGAAAGCTCCACTGGAACCAATTCCATGCTTGCATTGACCCGCCATCTGCCATCCTCAAACTTCGGCGTACCCAACATCTGAAGGACCATCCGAAAATAGTTGGACAGCTGCGGCGGCTCCACAAGCTTCTTTCTCATGGCTTGCCAATTCTCAGTTGGTGCTGGTACCAAGTAGTCCCTTGGGAAAATTGCTGTATCGTGTCTGAAAAGCTGCATGCCCTCATCTATCCAGTCGTGACCAGTCAGTGTAATGCTCCTGTGCACGAAAGCATGTACCTGACCATGCACCTTGCCTGGACCCGTTGTCTTCGTACGGGACATGCGAACTGATAAGCCCCTGGGCGAAAGGCGCATGGTTTCCGGCATCACACATTGTATGTCGTCCACACGCATGCAGCCCCATGTAGCAACCAGCATCGTCCATGCAATGACCTTGCATAATAATCCCTCTGATCATCCATGACAAGAAGCTCAAGTGCCAGCAAAATTGAAACCGTATATGGCGGCGCCGACCCCTTTGGCCTACTATTTGAACTCAGCTCCTGGCTCCAGCTCTGCAAGTGTGCCTTCCACGTTGGATCCATGGAAAGCTGATTGCACTCCAACACTCTGCCAGACCTTTCCAAAAGCACCAACGACGCCTGAAGTTCAGTGTGAATCGACAACGCACACCCTACCTGTATACACTCTTCCACATAATTGACCAAGTCCGCAAGTGAGCGTGGCCACACTGCCCCAGAGTAAGCTATCAACCAGAGCCTGAACTTGCTCCAGCTGCGGAACCTGTTCCTCAATGTCTTACCCCTCCGTGAACCAAAGATCCTCTTCCAAGCCTCGTTGGGATTATCCAGCTGATGTATCTGATAAACAACAGGCAAACCAGCTTCATCGATAAATGTTGCAAGCTCCATCGCATATTTATCCCTCAAAGCTTCTTCCAGATCTGCACGGTTGACTGTTGAAGACTTACGTTGTTGTGCAACACGTTTTGCAACCTCCAGTGCATACTTGGGGTCATCCTTGACTATGGACTCGAAAACGTCTGAGGTCTCAACATGTGCATCCGTCCGGATAGGAAACAAGCTGTACTCCAGTCCAGCGACAACTGCACGTCTACGCCGTTTGAATGCAGTTTGTTGCAATGCAGACCACTCAACCAGCCGCCTAGCAGCTTCACCTGTGAGGCGTTGTATGTCTAACCCTGCTGAGTCTGCCAACTGTTTAAACACCTCTTGTGCCTCATCTTCAGTGTCAAATGAATTGGCAAACGACGATGCACACCCATAAAACCTGACAACTGTGTCTAACAGTTTCTGCCCCAGAAATTCGAGTCCAGTCCACTCGTCCTCATCCATGTGCGGCCGACAGGCGTGCGAAGCGCCCCTCTCTACAAAAATTTGAACAACTGAAACTGCACAGAAAATATAAAACTGAGAAATGAATCTGAATTCACGTTGAAGTTTGAACAGATTGTAAGACAAATTTCTGAGTGTTCCAAAAACCTAAACCTAACAAACCTAACAGTAACAAGCAAGGCAACTGAAAACTGAAATGAGATCATCTTGCGAAAGAGAACCAACAACACCAAACAACAGAGGCAACTGAAACTGAAACTCAGGCGTTGCAAAAGTTGGTTTGTTTCATTTAGGTTTTTTTTGAGGAACACGCGAAGAGGAACCCAGAAGGCCCAAAGGCCAAATACACGAGAGAGGTAACCCTCAACCAAACCCCCACCACCCACCCACCCCATTGTTTTACAAACAGTCACTTTGGTGACCCAAAATATCAAAACACATTGGGCCTATTCAGAGGGTGTGGGAAGCAACAAAGGCTCAATGCGGAAACCAGGGATCCCCCCAGCCAGGATCCCCGAGATCACAAAGAGCAGCCTTCACGGCATGACATTCACCCTGACACTTTGAAGCAAACACCGACAAAGCCGGGTCGCAACGAAAGTGGTGAGAATAACTACCGCAGTGAAACAGGAGAGTGAAACAGATCTAGTGTGAAAAAGTCAGCAATGGCTACGGCACTCACGGCACCCTCAGAGTCCGCTCAGTTGATCTTTTCCTAGCATCAGCATCAGCAGGATTGCGGTTTGCGGGGAGTGTCACCTCCCTAGTGCTCCTGCAAGTAGTCTTCATGGGATGGGAGATTGTGCTCGTCATCAGTGCGTGGTGATATCTGCGCATTGAGTTCTTCCGATGATGTGCTGGCTCCTCTGGCTGTATGATGAAGCTGCAGTATGGCTTTCTGCGCTTGGGTTACTTCGTAACTGGCAGATATTGTACAACTATCCAATATACAGCCAATCTGGCGGAGCTGGCGTATATGGCCGCTTCAAGGTCAGTGACTCTCTGGGATGGGATATTTTGTATGCCTTGGAGTTTCTGGCATGCCTTCTCTAGAAGTTTGGTGGCTTCATCGACTTCGCTGGTAGTGACCTGGCATAGGGTCAGTTGAGTAATGGACTTTGCAAGACGATGTACAGCGGCATCTTTCATAGGAGTCGGTCGTTCCATCCCTCAAGGCTAAGCTATATACAGGGTCTTCAGTAGACGTAGGGCCGCTGGGCTTTCAGTTCATCACTCACTGTGTTGCAACCGTTGTCGAGGAAATGCATGGAGAGGTGTGGTGAAAGTCATTTGGCCGGTCGATATAGTGGTTGAACAAAAGTCAAACGGCGACGGGCACCATGGCTAGATGTACTTTGACATCGCACTACACTACCATACAACAATTAAGGTAAAACAACACGAACAAACCCCCTTAAAAAGGTTATTATAACCACCCCCCACCACCTCCCGTCCCATACTGTCTCCGGCATGCTTACGGCAATGGTGGCTACAGTGGGTAGTGGTCAACCATGGGTACTTCATGGTGACAAAGCCTCTCAACCTCGGTCGAGCCACTGACTAAATGCATGTATGGGAGACGTAGGTACCTTACGCTCGCTCGAGTAGCTTACTGAAACTGCACGTGTTGACTGGTGCGAGGTTTTTCGCAGCTACCGGCGCTGCTGGATGCGGTATTTGCAGGGGGTGGGTCACCACTTTCCGCTGGTTTCATCATTTGGGCAATGAGTGGATGGCTCTGTTTTTCGCGCAAGATCCGTCATTTCGCGAGTGAAGGCTGCAGGGTCATCAACTAGTGCTTTCGCTTCCGCTAGTGGCCTGTCAAGTACAATGGCAATGAGCATTTCGCCACCATCTTTATGGATTAGGGTTGGTCGGCCGGCTTCCACCTCTGCGAGGATTGCCACTGCCTTGTTTTCACACAAAGTGCGTTCCCATTCCTCCAGGGCTCTTTGCGCTAGGGTGTCCGTTTGTGGTGGGGCCTTGAGAGTTGCTGATGTCCCTATAACGCACTTAGGAAGGGGCTATCAGGTGGCATGGGGGATGGGAGATGCTGGATAGCCGCTACTGCCCGCAGAACATCGTTTGTTCTGATTTCATACGAAGCGGACGTTTTCTTGCCTATGGCAGGCTCGGAATCAGCCCATAGTTGCTGCAGTGTGTAGCCTGGTTTCGGCTCCATGTACCGTCTATTCCATACTGCATGGTGAGACCACTGAGGTGCGTCATGGTTGATTTCAACTGAGTCTCTTTTCATGTCATATTCTTTGAGCATGTCGTCTAACTTGTGAAAAACGCAAACCCAAGTACACCTCTCGTGTACCCAAATCAACGCTTTCGTAAAATCACTACGCCAGACGCAAACACCTACTGTGGTTGCGACTCCGCAGTTACTTACTTCTCTGCAATGTCAAATAAAGGAACTTGTTCCACCCCGACTCCTAAGTGCACGTCAGACTCCTTCTTTTCTCTCCAGACGCCACACACAACGGAACAGGTCAACAAGAACCAGGGCAGGCACACGGCCACAGCCCACAAACAAAGAAAGGAAGCAAGATGTTCCAGTGTGGCTACTGTTTCAAGTGCCCTAGGTGACACTGCAGTTCAGTTCTCTTCGGAACATTTGACACCACTCCCTTGAGCCGATGTCTCAACTGGAAAACTCGATTCCAGGTTTCCAATACACAACCTTCCTTCAAGGGTTGTTGAAACAATTCCAAACTGCTATGATATACAAATCACCTAGTCACAAAAACGTCAGAAACATTTCCAAAAGTTCTCAAGTCAAACTGGTTCTCGTCCAAACGCAAATAACCAGCTAGCCGGTGTTACTAGTCTCTACCAAACGTCTAGACTAGTTACACGGCTATTCAAGAACGAAATGATTCATTCAAATTCCTTTACAAAATCCTCTTGCAATACAGAACAACATGGAACCTCCTGTTCCATCTCCAAAACAGTTCTTCGCACAGAGACATCTTCTCATAGCTCCAAACTACCGTGGAGAACAGAATGTTCTGCTCGACTTCTCAGCTAATATCCAGTCATCAGCAGTCATAGCGCTAAAGTAGTTCGCTCACCACAATAACCAAACGTCAGCAATAAGTCACAAAGACAAAGGTCACAAAGCAGACTTCCAGATCAAATACCTAGATGTCGAATACTATACGTAGGCATTGTCCTCACAATGCCGAAGTATCTCACATACTCGCAAGAGGTAGTCAAAGGACTTCACCAACATCTCAGATGTTTGAAGCAACGTCAAGAATCGAAACGGATATTCCAATACCATCTCCGTCAGATCCACACTCCCACAAGGAGTCAAGGAATCTCTGAGATCGATGAAACCGCATCATCCCGACTCATCTGTCTAGCGAATGCTTCTGAAAGCATTCGTCCACTGTCATAAGGCAAAATAACACTTCAAACTGTATGAAAAGGAGAATCAAGCTCCACGTAGATTCACTTAGACTCACTGGTCGATATCTCAGATCAGCTCATGCAGCTTCTCATACCACAAAGCAATATTGAAACTACTTATGTCTGATGCAGACACCTTCCCATAGTCCAGTTTCACCACTGAAGGCTCAATGAAAGTCAGGTCGCACCAATGCCAAGTTGCACCCACAAGGGTTCAAACTTCCACGCCCCCTTTCGACATGACATTCATTTCTCTCTCTATACCCACTCAAATTCATATCCAGTATGAACTTCGCCATATTGTCAAAGTCAAATGTGTGGAATACATCGTATTTGCCAAGAGGCTTCGATATTCCAATCACTTGACCGAAAAATGAAGTCTAAACTCCTCTGAAACACTCGAAGTTTCCAAAAAAATAACTGTCATTGAGAAATCACCTGATTCTCAAAGAAATAGACTGTTGATCCTCCAACCCTTCGCTCATCAAAATAAACAGTCCATCCATATCCACGACCATCGTCAGCGCTGATGTCAGCAATACTCCA